GCTGAAACTGTTTTGCCATGTAACAATACGCATTCGATTTAAGACCCGGTCAACAGTGCTGAATTCATCCCCGAGGTTGAAAAAGCTCTATGTTATCAACCAGATCAACAACGACTGAGAATGTGATTTGAGTGGCATCATAGTTAATAGAGGAGATGGTTTGGAAACTCATTAGCATTACAATAAACCTCACTATCTATGTTTTTGTCCAGGTTTATGCAAAAATGTGGTCTTTCATCGTCACGTGCGTATTGTATTTTTGCTCAAACAGCCAATAGCAACGGTTTTGTCCAAGTGCACATCCATGTCTCCATGACTTTAACAATAGGACATTTTGAACATTCCTATTGGTTGTGAAAAAATTTCTTCACACTACAACGAAAATGATAAAATTATCGTTTGACGATAACGATAACGATTTTAAGATCACTCACCCGAGCGATTTTTCAATTCAGTCGGACGATAACGATAAATTTTTGAGCAATCAGCGCGCATATACAAGTTATCGTATCCGGCGTTGTCGTTGTGTAGTGTGACCTCACCTGGGCTTTATTCTTTGAATCCTTGGGAATTGGCTGGACACTGCACACCAGGCCACCTATCCTTGGAAACACTTTATACAAAAAAATGATCAACTTTCAAGCACAAATTCGCCACACCATGATATATATTCAAACCATATTATCTCATTACATTAAGATCCTGCCAGGTAAAATTAATTCTCCATTAATAATGTTATATATATATATATATACGTTTTCGAATTCTAAGCTTATGTAGCCACCGGTTACCATAGTGTCACTGTGCTGCAGTATATAATATTTTCAAGACAGTATTTCAGTTAAGGAGTTGGACAAGAATCTTGACTCGAGACGAGGTTCGCATTTGCACAACATTTCTGGTTGGAAGTGTTGAAATAATCTGGCCCGCAACACTCGTGCCCAGGCTTGCGCGGATGAATGGTGCCACAGCAACAAACATGGTCTCCAGAGTTAAACACCACGCCGCGACATAGCTCACCTAAAATATATATTTCAATGGTATACACGTGTAAAAAACGCATAACGATTGTAACAAATTAACCTGTTGCATGCAGACTTGTAGCAATGCTGTTCCAACAACTTGTCAACAGTAAATTTGTAGTAGACGGCGCCATATGGATAGCGGAACCGGTCGTCTTTTTCAAGACCATTTTCCGCAGTATAGAGGGTTGGGATTGAGACTGTACAATGGATTATTCCAGCTATAGACTAAATTTTGATATTGGCAAGAAAAACGGATCAACACAGCTAGAAAGAGCATGTTAAAATAAGTAAAATTGCAAAGTTTGGCCGCAAAATGTACTGTAAAATGCGGAAAATATAGCCTCGCGAAATTTGTAAATTTTGTCATTAATTTGTATTACGCGCGGGAAAATGCACCACATTTGGGCCGAAAGTGATGCATTTTCCCGTGCGTAACACGAAAATTTCACAGGGCTATATTTTCCTCATTTTACAACATTTCGCAACCAAACTTTGCAATTTTACTAATTTGAACATGCTCTTTCTAGCTGTGGCTCTTTCTTGCCTAAATCAAAATTTAGTCTATAGATAGAATCATCTATTTATCCGGTTTCGTGTGGCACTTTTCGTCTCGTAATTAATCCAGTTCCGTGTGAACATATCCGGACGAATTTGAGCACGTAGACTTTCCGGTGGGGGGGGGGGGCAAAGCCTCCTAAATTTCCGACAAAACTTTCAAATTTCCGACGTACCCCCCCCCCCATTTGCACTGGAAAAGACTGTTTTTTGCCCTCTTTTAGGTCAAAATTTCCGAAAATTCGGCAATTTTCCGTCAAGATTTCCACCATTGTTTATTTCCAACCCACCTTTCACTGTGATCGTGACTGGACAGGTGACGGAGACGCCACCTTTCAGTTTGAATGTATAACTAATGATATGTTCACCAATAGCGAAGGCATGAGGTGACGTAATCTGTGGTGTGACTTCCGTCGTCTTCAGTGTTGCTTTGCGACCAGCCTTGCAGGTGAATTGTGGGATAGGCCATTCCACTACTGCTGTCGTATCGCCCGGCTTGACGTAGATTGGGGATGATGTCATCTCGTGGCACGAGCATTTACCTTGAGTATAAGAACAACATAAATTAAACTTAGAGGAATTGATGGAAATTTTTTAACGGCTTTTTTAGACAGTCTCTCACGCAAGGTACCTACGATTTTACTTACGATATTCACTTACTATAATGAGGCCAACTTGTGTGCCTTCCTCTCCTACATTCAGGAAGGGATCTAGGACTAGTCGCTCAAGAAAAGGTTAATATCGGATATAGAGAGAGCCAAGTCATTATCCGAGAAGACGCGAAAGTCTAACCATTTACTAATGTCAATGTAAAGATAGCACTTTCTCTTCAATTATTGAGACCTTGAGTAGGTAGCACTTACTATAATGAGGCCAACTTGTGTGCCTTATAATTCCTTTCCTACATTCAGGAAGGGATCTAGGACTAGTCGCTCAAGAAAAGGTTAATATCGGATATAGAGAGAGCCAAGTCATTATCCGAGAAGACGCGAAAGTCTAACCATTTACTAATGTCAATGTAAAGATAGCACTTTCTCTTCAATTATTGAGACCTTGAGTAGGTAGCACTTACTATAATGAGGCCAACTTGTGTGCCTTATAATTCCTTTCCTACATTCAGGAAGGGATCTAGGACTAGTCGCTCAAGAAAAGGTTAATATCGGATATAGAGAGAGCCAAGTCATTATCCGAGAAGACGCGAAAGTCTAACCATTTACTAATGTCAATGTAAAGATAGCACTTTCTCTTCAATTATTGAGACCTTGAGTAGGTAGCACTTACTATAATGAGGCCAACTTGTGTGCCTTATAATTCCTTTCCTACATTCAGGAAGGGATCTAGGACTAGTCGCTCAAGAAAAGGTTAATATCGGATATAGAGAGAGCCAAGTCATTATCCGAGAAGACGCGAAAGTCTAACCATTTACTAATGTCAATGTAAAGATAGCACTTTCTCTTCAATTATTGAGACCTTGAGTAGGTAGCACTTACTATAATGAGGCCAACTTGTGTGCCTTATAATTCCTTTCCTACATTCAGGAAGGGATCTAGGACTAGTCGCTCAAGAAAAGGTTAATATCGGATATAGAGAGAGCCAAGTCATTATCCGAGAAGACGCGAAAGTCTAACCATTTACTAATGTCAATGTAAAGGTAGCACTTTCTTCTCAATTATTGAGACCTTGAGTAGAGATCCAACCAAGGATCGAACCCAGGTCTCCCAGCTTGAAAGTCAAGCGTGATGACCACAAGAGATTTTCAGTCATATTACAATGGAAAAACATAAACAGATATGATTGAAAGAAAGGACAACATGACTGACATCCCATATTAATCCAACCAACTTAAAACTGGAAGAATTAGTAGAGAATAATTTCAATTAAAGTATCTATCGAAACATTTCAAGTTTAGTGTTTGTATAAGTCATAACATTATTTACTCGACTTGCAGTCCATCAAATACAAATATAATATTCTGTCAAGTCAAGTTTTCGAATCTTACACAAATCTAAAGCAACTTTTCGTACTTGGTTTTATACACGAACTTGCGACCAATTTTGCTAAGATGTCATCCATCTGATTAAAATCAGCATCGAGAACATACTTTGACGATGTAGCCAATTCCTCTAAGATATGTTTAAATTTCCGCCTGTCAGGGCCAACGGCGGCGCCGACAATGAGAATTCCCTTTTCTTTGAGATCATTAGCGTACTCTTTTGTCAGTTGTAGAGTGTTGCTTCTTCCTCGAGGTTCACCGTCCGTAATAATGACTACGACATCGTCAACATCCGGTCTGTTGTTGCTTGGGTTTTCACCAGAGAATATCTGCATAGAAATAATTTATATGAAGATAACAGTAGTTTGATTGGGAAATAAGTTGAGTTATAGTAAAGGTTGTCTGGTATGGTGTCGTTTGCGCTTTTATTTTTGTTTTGTTGATGTTGATGTTGATGTTGTTGGTGTAATTGTTCTTGTTGATAATTATATAGATGATGGTGATAATGATGATATAGACGATGGTATAGTTATGTTGATATAGATGATGATATATGATATAGATGATGATGATGATTAGATACTGATGATATAGATGATAATGATGATGATATAGATCATGATGATATAGATCATGATGATATAGATCATGATGATATAGATCATGTTGATATAGATCGTGATGATATAGATGATGATACGTTGATGATGATAGTTGGCCATGATATAGATGATGATGACATAGGTGACATAAATGATGATGATATATTGATGATGATGATATAGATGATCATGATGATATAGATGATCATGATGATATAGATGATGATATAGATGATGATATAGATGATGATATAGATGATCATGATTATATAGATGATATAGATGATGATATAGATGACGATGTAGATGATGATATAGATGATGATGATGACGATGACGACGATGATCTTCTACTACTGCTGCATATTAGGGATTATATTCATTGCGATGAATAGAGATAGTGGTGGCTCAAGAATACGAAATATCCTACAAATCCCACAGTTAGTCCGCACTTTTTTAGTTCATCAATTTGTTTCTTGATGGCTCTCACGGACGAAATTATTAAAAGGCTACAAACGTCAGGAGAGAAAATTAAGAGATTCCTCTCATATACTAGCTTCTTTCACATCACATTACCTCATTGGCATACTTTAATCCTACATCCGTCCTAGTATGACCACCACTAACTTTGCTCCAATCCAAACCTTTCATAAACTGCGCGAGCTCTCCTGCGTCGTAGATCTTTCCAATGTTTAACAGTTTTTCGGTCTTATGTGCTTCGCTGAATATAATGAGGCCAACTTGTGTGCCTTCCTCTCCTACATTCAGGAGGGGGTCTAGGACTAGTCGCTCAAGAAACGGTTTGACATCTTGGTTGAAGGAAGTCTCTCCGATACTGTATGAGGTGTCCACCACTAGCAGAAGATCTTTCTTACATTTTGCTAGACAAAGAAAATGTTGTAGAAGAGCCTTCAAATTTATATATACTGATACATATGCAGAAATCTTCGGATTGATAACTATTCGAAAAATACAAGGAGAACATCGACGTTTCGGGCTTATTTAAACTCGATTGACGAAAACACAAAGAACCTAAATAAGATAGGATTAAAAAAAACAATATTGATTCATAATATCCTTGATATGTATACAAGCAATCAATATATTGTTTGCAGCTATTTACTAAACAATTGATCCCGATGGCATATTTCCATCATTCTTATAGGAGTATAGCAATTGAATATAAGATTTGTAGCATATTTCAGAAAGTTCATTTCCATCGTATTGTATCTTCTCTTTCTAGCCGTTTGATTCTTGAATAACAAACATAGAAAGCCAACTAACCAGGCTAGTCTCTTTAAGGCTCTTTTAGTATGCTTTTTACCATAATTTGTGTTATACATTATATCATTTTTTTCTCATAGTAAATTTTTGAATGGTAATAAATTTCTTCTTCTATATAACATACCTACTCCACCAGATCGAGACGATGGCATGCCAACATCGTATAGCCAGTCGTTATAATAATCTATAAACAATCCGAAAAACAGAAATATTAATAACCTAATTTTGTGCAGTATGTGTGTTGCATGTATATATGCATTAGTTCATGGCATGTCACATTTTGCGTGAGATGGTATTCCATATTCTATATTCGCGGAAGGAAGGCCCTACGAAATTTGCAAACGAATAGCCCTACGAAATTTGCAAATTTTGTATTAATCCCATATTACGCACGGGAAAATGCAGTACCACACTTGAGCCAAAAATTTATACAAATTTATGCAAATTTTGCAGGGCTCTATTTTCCTCATTTTACAACATTTCGTAACCAAACTTTGCAATTTCACTAATTTTAACATGCTCTTTCTAGCTGTGGTGATGGATTTTGTTCTTCTTGCCTAGATCAAAATTTAGTCTGCGTAGCTGAACTCATCTATTAAACTTACTGCGTTTGTATAATACCTGACTCGTAACTTGAAAAGGCAAAACAAACTTGGACAACAAACACTGCGATAACAGCCACCAACTTTAACACTTCTGCCATAGTGCTATAGCGCAATCAAAACTCCCCAATAGTCGATCGATTCCACTTTCTGCAAACTAATCCAAACTGTTTTGATCAGATCATTACCTAAATTCCGATCCTTTTATATCTTTTTTTTTTAAGTGTTGATTAATTTTTAAACATCCAGTTAAGATCTATAGCTATAAGTGCGATTGCTTTTGCCTCTTTGTGGTTTTGTTGCTAAATTTTGATACGGCTTACAATCCGACTTTAATTCTTTCCAGGGGGAAGTGGAAACTGCTACATTTTGTCATCTTTATATAGATTTACCTTGTCTCTTTATATGATTCTTAGTTAGTCTGTGGAAAAAAGGATGCAAAGATTAATAAAATATTACTTAACCAACGGGTAAAAAATGAATAACTCTATCATGCATGAGTTCTATCTTTAGAAACTATTCTCTCCGGAGGTCTAGTAAGGGCTATCCCATATATCTATTTGTCCATGTTATCACACAAGAAGATTTAAAGTAAATTTTAATTTTATTTGTACCAGATATGGCTCTATCATTTCATCTAAACAATTCCCCCTGGACCCTATACTGTTTAAAATACTAAAAAGTTCCACAAACCTTCGAACCTAAAAAAATTCTTGCAATGAAAATTACCCCTCCTCCCTAACTTCTGTAGCCGTGATCCCCCCTCCCCTCTACATTGGCAAAAGGAAGGAAATTTTCATGTGTAAATTTTCTTTCTTCCCCATCCTGACTTACTTTAATGGTATTTCTCTTCCTCGGACCCATTTACCGTGAGGGCGGAATGTATTACTTAAATCTTCCTTAAATCTGCCCTAAAATACACAAGCAAAGCTCGCCGACAGCTTAGCTGCGACAAAACAAATGCAAATGGATTAAGTATTAAATGAAATCCTCCTATGCAGACAAACGGACTAGGAGCAAATTGCTACTCGAAAGATAAAATAAAATGTGTTTTATTACACTTTTGTACTTCTGCATAAATTGCTACAACTTTTTATTGGAGTTTTGATTTAAATTCTGATAATCATATAGTAAACTTGTCCTATATATTATAGTCATAAAATATAAATTAAGTCCCCATTTTTAAAATTTAATGTTGTAATTTGTGGCATAGTTTAATTTGCATGTTGTTTGTACGAAGCCCGCGAATACTGTAGTTGTTTTTTTCTGAAAGCTGACTCACTTTCAAAGAGTGGAGGACAGGAGATTCAATCTGAGCTTCTCTTGAGTGTCAGTGCTGTTTTTGAATAGCTGGATGGTGAGTAGTCACAGAGTAATGGACCTTTCCCCTTATAACAAAAATTTTGATCTAGACAAAAATTTCATCACAGCTTGAAAGAGCATCACAAAATTAGTAATATTCCAAAGTTTTGTTGCAAAATCTTGTAAAATGCGCATAATATAGCCTTGCGAAGTTTGCCGTTTTTCAGTCATTTTGTATTACAAACGGGAAATTGACATACGATGCGGGTGTTGGGGCTGCAATTTCCCGTTTGTAATGCAAAATGACTGAAAATTGCAAACTTCGCAAGGCTCTATTTTCCTCATTTTACAACATTTCGCAACGAAACTTTGGAATATTACTAATTTTGTGATGCTCTTTCAGGCTGTGATGGAATATTTGTCTAGACTTGCCTAGATCAAAATTTTGGTTATAAGGGGAAAGGTCTATTTACGACACACTAACCTTCATCTATTCAAAAACAGCATAATTGGCACTCAAGAGAAGCTCAGATTGAACCTCCACTCAAAAGCTTAAAAGCGCTATCCTCTGGATAGTGATAGCCTTCTGCACTAGATTTCTCGTTAGAAGCAGTTTGGCAAAGATGGAAAGTCATATCTAACAAATAGACTGAAAGTTCAAAACCCCCCCTCTTGTAAACCCCCTCTGCACCAAAAACCTCTTTAATACCAGAGGTGAGAAAAATAGTCAAGCATGCTCGCAGGAAATGTTAAACATCTACAGGAAATTTGTTAGATTGAAGATTTATAACTTGAAAGATACGTATAGACCATAACATTAGCATTATACACGAACAGCCCGACGTCATTTTCTGATTTCTTTTGAATTTCATTCAGTATTGCGTAATTATTGATTTTCTGTCTGTTTTTAAGAGAATGAAATCGAGGCTATGCGTGTACCGGGGTTTGAAATTTAAAAAAAATTTCGGTCGCCTAAGTAGCTATCAGCGAATATAAGATCTGTTCGCCAAATTTAATATGAGAAAACTGAGTTTTAAATATTCTCAATAGATTAACCATTCGAGCATTCTTCAATCGAGATTAATTTTTACTGTTGTATTAATAGTTTTTATGTACGTCTGTATTTGTGTTGTCTTGGTGGGACTTAATTGGGAACTTCTGTTCCGTTGTCCTGACCTTCGATCTTATTGATTGTCAAGTTATTAAAATTAAAAAAAACATATCCCTGTATCTCCCTATGCCAAAGTATTGTGAAGTATTCTCTTTGTACATAGATAGCATAGAAAAGGCACTCCAGTAATTCTGCGTATGCGTCTATGACAATTGCTAACCGTACGAATAAGCGACAGTCCGATTTAATACGTCCCATGTGAATGCAGATGTCTTGAAAAAGATATTCATCACAAATTCTCAAAGATAGTGGCATGTACGAAAATGAATCGTCTCTGTAAACAAACTAAAAGGCATCTCGTTGTGTTTTTGCGATAAGTGCGACCAATGCATGAACCGCAATCGATTATTTATAAGTTTAGATCAAACATAAAGTGAATGTGGTATTTTGTTAAAGTGCTTATGACACGAAATTTCACCCCAAAGGTTTATGGTTGCATTGTAAAGATCACTTAAAATGACTTGATAATTTCTTTTATAGAATTTTGGTAACTTGCTCCCTTTTCAAGATATTCAACTTTTTTTTCTGTGCTGGTGTTGTGTACTCAGGTGAATAATATGTTTGTGATGTTACTTTGAGTGCATATCCACACCGCGGGCGAGTTTGAAAAATATGCCCGGCCACGGTGGGATTCGAACCTACGACCTTTGGAATACTAGCCCAATGCTCTTCCAACTGAGCTACGCGGTCAGGACGGTTCGAGTAAGTGATATTTCGGAAAATATTCCAAAGGTCGTAGGTTCGAATCCCACCGTGGCCGGGCATATTTTTCAAGCTCGCCCGCGGTGTGGATATGCACTCAGAGTAACACCACAAATATCATATTCACCTGAGTACACTACACCAAAACAGAAAAAAAATCATATTACTAGAATACATTGGTATTGAAGGAACTAGATTCTGTTCCGAAATATCACTTACTCGAACCGTCCTGACCGCGTAGCTCAGTTGGAAGAGCATTGGGCTAGTATTCCAAAGGTCGTAGGTTCGAATCCCACCGTGGCCGGGCATATTTTTCAAGCTCGCCCGCGGTGTGGATATGCACTCAGAGTAACACCACAAATATCATATTCACCTGAGTACACTACACCAAAACAGAAAAAAAAATCTGTGTCTACATTGTAATCTATTCTATGTTTGGCGAATCTAATAAATTAAATTAAATTAAAATATATATTTTTTGTAAGCAAAGTTTAACTCAACACATCATTGTTGAGGCCTGTTTTAATTATACGTCGAATTTCGGTCGCGTCGAATGCAATTCAAACAGTAGGTAGTGAAGCAATGGGATTTATCATCTCATTGTCTTAATTGCATTCGACGCGACCAAAATTCGACGTATAGAACAGGCCTTAAGAACGTGAAACAGTATTCATTACACTAGTGGCAAAAAGTGTCCCCCTCAAGTGTAAAAGCAGAATATAACAATGAAAACTATAATTCCTTGTATTTAATAGTAGGTTGATGCCACGCCCGCAAATTATGCTAATTGCATCGTTAGGTTAAGTATTGGGACTTGGCCATGTTAACAATCAATCATGTAGTTGATTTGCCATATTTAACTGATAAGTCACTAAAAGCAAATTTTTGAAAGGCTAAACTAACAAGGAAAAAGATAATTATAATTAAAAAACTCATTAATAATTCATGAAGAAAACACAAAAGAAATCATGGGCGTGAAGGTGGTGAGATAAAATAACCAGCACATTTAATCAGGAACATTAAGTTAACCCAAATAGTGTTGTTTCTAGGTTAATGGTTAAACTGTTTCTAGAGTATTGCAACGTGCATGAGCATCGGGACTGGAATAAGTATCAGACCATGGGACCAGAAAATTTTTTGAGTTCCCAGAAAGTATTTCCCCAAGAAAGAAAAATTGTAATGATTTAGATAAGCGGAAAAATTCAGAGAAAAATTCACACCATCTTAATGGTGCGATGGTGTATAAATGTAATATACTGTGAGTGATGTAACAAATATTGTATGGCAAATGCATTTTTAGCTGATCTGGGACACTCGATTTTCAGAATTTTCTGGGGAGCATCGATCACCCTGATAATGTCCCCTAGTTGTGCCCTAGCTTTTTTGGAGTCTGTATTTATCCTTAGGATCAGACCCTTGATGCATGTTATCTAAATTAGTTTTATGTTATATCTTAAGATTCTCAGTGAAATATTTTTTCCTGTAAAATATAACATGACATCCAGTTTGACAACTTGTTAGTGCCCCACAGTTACAGTGTCCAAGTGTCGATTTATACTAATGTTCTCTTGCGGTCCAGAAAGTCAAATATTTCCACCCCTGGTGAGCATACTCCTGATTTATTTTACATCTGCCAAATAGTCAAAAAGCGGAGGATGTTAACGAACTTTTATTGTTTCATTTCTTTATTTAATATTTAATCAATGTGCAACAAAGTTGTTTTGTGGAGTTCTATAGGAACTATCTAATCAGCGATGGGACAACCAAACATAGAAATATCACCAAACATCGATGCTGGGTTGAACAACTCGACAACAGAAGACATCGTGACCCTGAAATTCTTGAGACATCCTTGATACGAAGACCTCACATTAATACCAGATGACCTGACATTCGCTAAAACAATACAAAAGAAGTACTTTTTGGCAACAGAGTGAAGTGATTCTTATGTAAGATCGCAAGCTCCATTTTCGTGTTGGATAAGGACACAAAGGTGAAAAGTGTTAGTCAACACTCTAAGAGTGGGATGACTTCGATGTATTATTTCAATAGTCAGGGTGCCCGACTAAAAAAACTACATTCTTTTTCTTGTGATAGATTATCGTATAATTGTGAAAGGAAGGTGGTTCAAGCAGCGATACTGCGATTTTCGTCTTCTGATGCGTGTGAACAAACAGATGAGTATGAATGTTCTGAGTATATGCAGGGACGCCGGAACGATAATAGGGCAAAGGGGGGCGGACGCACACCAAGGGCACCTTTACTGAAAAATATTTTTTCACTGCTAAATTTTTTGGCGATCCCCCCCCCGTCGCCAAAAAAATTTCGGTCAGTGTACCATTTTAGGGGTCCAAAAAAATTTTTCCGGACATACAAAAATTTTCCGTGAAGCCAAAAATTTTTCCGGTATCTTAAATTTTCGCCATTTCTTCAAAATATTTTTCTAAATTCCAAAAATTTCCCAAAATTTTTATAAATATAAACTATAAATTACCTGAATCTCGCGATTTTCCCGCAAAAAGCATCGTTGGAAATGTGATTTATCACGTATTATTTTACAACTAAAAGGGCACTTCTGCCCCCCCTGCCCCCCCTAGCAAAAGGCAAGGGGGGCAGCCGCCCCCCAGTTCCGGCGTCCCTGAGTATATGTACCCTCATCGAAACATTCATAACTCTTCTAATCGTTCGCGGCAAAAATTGTAAGTGTAAACAGTGCAGACCTTTACGTTTATATGACCAGTGAACTCAGTGACGTCCCAGCAACAAGATATGTTTTTAAATATCAAGAATATGTTCAATTCATTTCATTTTTATTAGGCTAAAATTGTTTTCTGTCTTTTTTCCTTTAGAAATTTGGTCGGCCCAGGTTCAGTGATAACACTTTTGAAAGAAAAAAGTTCTGCTATGATGTGACAAAAAACAAGAACAAACCTGGTATTCCTCCAAGAAAGAATTGATCCTTCACATTGGCAACAGTTAGTGTTCCTTGCTTTACTTTGGAAGGAGGGTTGGTATCAACCTGCAAGCTAAGCGTTTTTTCCACTTTTGAAACAACGATTTTATGCCACTTGTTGTCACACAATGTTTGACCATCCAATGGTGTCCACGATGTTTGCATTATACCATCACCATTCTGAACTCTTACAACAACCTGGGGAAAATTTGAGATCAGTGTCAAGTAGAGATCAGGGGCTTCGGTGGCCAAGTGGTTAGCGCACTTGCCTTTCACCTCTGAGGCTGCAGGTTCGAGTCTCACTAAGTACCTTCTCAGTGCGACTCGAACCCAGTCCCCATGTGAAAAGAGTAAAAGTCAACGCCCTGCCGAAAGCCGTGGGTTTTCCCCGGGTACTCCGGTTTCCTCCCACAGGGAAAGTTGACAGGGTGGGTTAAGTAAAAAGGGCCCACAGTAATTGGCATATGCTGTTGTGGTGACCCTGCCCTAGTTGGCAAAGCTAAATAAATAAATAAATAAAGTAATCTTATATCTCAAATTCCAATCTCTATTGAAGAAACATCATTTGGAGCATGTCAGTTTGGGGCACAAGTAAGCAGGATAGTGTACAACATGGCAGAATCTTGAGGGGAAGTGCCCGAGATCGTTTTGAGCCTTCCTTAAAAATTTATACACCCCCCCCCCTTGATGGATCAAAATTTGACTCAAATTTAACAGTAAACTTGGACGATTGTTATTAAATTTTTATGTGTTGCTTTACGGTCTTCACTTCGTGATAAATTTTTTCTATAGAGTTGAAAAAGTGATAATTATCCATCTCAATTTAATTAGCATTTCAATGCAAATTTTGTTTAGTCACACAGTCCTAATTCATAAATACAATATTGATGGGCATATATACATTATATACATTACAAGTATACCGTAATGTTATTGACTTTAGAGGGGCATATCGTGCGCCTTACTGCATGGTACAGTCTGATATATAGGCATATCGTTACAGCATATACTGGTATAGTCCAAAACTTCCGCAAGCTATGATAATAATTCTCCAGTGAACTTACACTTCCGTCGTTAAGTTCCAAGACCACAAAATCTCCATTCTCTGGACGTTTCTGATCCACAAGAGCAAAGATGAGACCTGTCATGTTTTGTGGCTTGATATCCATACTAAATAGTTTTTTACGACCAACAAAGAATGCCTCCGCTGAAGTACAAGAAGAAAAATAAGTGAGAAGTAGGACAATTAGGCAATTGTATCCTAACTCCTAAGAATGTTTTTAAGAGTAGAAGCAGTTGAACTATGAGAATGACCAGCATGGACATTTTCAAGGGCGAACCGACAATCACGTGGATAAAATAATGAAGTTTATCAGTTACACACGTAAAAACACGCAAGTTGTTACAAGGTTGTTGTCAAGTCGTTATCAGAATGTGTTAGCACTGCTTGTTTCCATTTGTTCTGACAAATCTGAATTCTGAAACAAGCATTAGCATCTTGTTACAAGGTTCATGACGGTATAGAAGACTTGCTACAAGTTGTTCCAACAAGACTGATACAGGCTGTTCCCAGCAAGTTGCTACGAACTTTATGGTCATGAACTTGTTAACAACTTTTTAGGTGCAGACGATATCAGACTTGCCAGAACAACTTTTTGCGACTCTGTTGGGCTCGTCAACCTTGTTACAAGATGATAACAACTTGTTCCAAACTTGTCATTAATAACTGGCCATGGGAACAACCCGCGTGTAGTGTTGCGAATGTTGTAAACAACTTATGGAATGAACTAATTCATATGCAAAAACCTAGTTATAGGACTAGTAAAAGTGGCCATAGAATATCAGGCCCATTTCCTTTAGTTGTATAAACACACAAAGTAATATGGGACGGGATTAATTTCAAACCAGTTTTTAACCTAAAGTTTAAAGATAAAATTTCAAGACTATATTTTTATACAATAATACTTTTTGTCATGTTTGACGAGTAGTTTCGAAGAACAACGTAGGTATAAATAAGATAGTTTGAAGAAAAACAGTATGAGATAAATGTCATAACGTTGACGATCCACAAACATGAACTCAGAGATCCCAACGAAAGTGCAAAGTTCATATGACAAATGATAAGAAAGCAATGGCTAAACAGCAAAGAAATGGCTATAGCAGCCAAATCGAGTGTATCACATACATGATAACAAAATATTTATTATGATTCACACATAATATACGAAATGGGCCCATGACCATGCAGAATATGACTAATTAGCGGAACAGCAGACCACGGAGCTGCGGAACTTGCATAACTTACGTTACTTAATTAACAAAAATGGCAAAATATTGAAAATTCCATAAGAGCCATATAACTTAATAAATGTTGTAGTATATTTTTAATTGAAAATATTCTGGTGACATATATTGAATGGCATTTTAAATTGCATCTTTCATTACTTGGATCGTGAGACGAATAAAATATAAATACTAACAATTTTGAAAACAAATATCCAATTTTGCTAATCGTTTGTCAACGAAACGTACGATTGAATTGTATTTTTTTTAATAAAGTACAGAATTTGGGTAATCTCATACTTCTTTGAGTTTTTTCTGCAATTTTCTCAAATCACCATCAGTTCAGAACTAAATAATTGCCTTTATTTCACACGTTTTTATTTCTTTAAACAATGTTTTTTCCACTGTTTTGATAAATTTTTAGTTTTTCTTTATTTATTACCGTCTAGCGCATTCCAAGCTTAGCCAATCAGAATTCAGCTGAATGGCTGAATTTTTCTTGGTTTATTTCCACTTTTGACAATGTGGCATGTCGCCATTCGTGAAATATTTATTACAACTTTTGCTTGTACCTCACTTTTCTCGTTTATACAGTGTGTATAAAAAAAAACTGAACAGATTTGAAATTGCTCTCAATTTCGCAAAACACCTATTTGTATCCGGTTTTTTATATATATAGCTTCTTTGGGTACTTATAATGTAGAATAATGAAAAAAAATTATCGAACTCAAATTTTGTGAACCAGGGGGGGGTGTCTTTTCCAACAAACTAAAAATGGCTCGCGCACAAAATTTAAAAGCTGTAATCATATTTTGAGTTAACAGATGGAACATTTGTTGGGGTTTTAATTACTGTACAAAATTTCAGACAATTTGGTTTAGTTTAAGACCTTTAACTATTTATTTTGTTCTAAAAATCAGCCTTTCGCATGCTTAATTAATGCCTTTACCTAATTTGCATATTGCTGACATATGCAAATTAGGCAAATGCATCAATTAATTAAGCATGCAAATAGCTGATTTTTAGGAAAAATGTAACTTTGCGTGAATAGTTAAGGGGCTTAAACTAAACCAAATTGTCTGAAATTTTGTACAGTAATTAAAAACCCGACAAAGTTTCCATCTATTGGCTCAAAATATGGTTGCAACTTTTAAATTTATTGCGCGAGCCATTTTTAGTTTGTTGGAAAAGACACACCCCCCTGGTTCACAATATTTGAGTTCAAGAAATTTTTTTCATTATTCTACATTATAAGTACCCAAAGAAGCTATATATATATATATATATATATATATATATATATATATATATATATATATATATATATATATATATATATATATATATATATATATATATATATATATATATATATATATACACACATATATATATATATATATATATATATATATATATATATATATATATATATATATATTTAATCTTAAAAATGGTATATGTTGCTACTCAGAGTTTCATGCAATTTCGCAATCTTCAGGCAACTGTTATTACAAGTAAGTAACTATATATATATATATATATATATATATATATATATATATATATATATATATATATATATATATATATATATATATATATATATATATATATATGACATCGACGGCGGTTTTAGTCGCTTTTTTGTTGTGTTTTTTTCTTTAAGTAAGCAAGTCAACTCATCTTCCGAAAGTTCAACAAATGGAAGACAGCCTAGTATGTATCGTCGGAACAAAATATAAATATTGTCGGATCAAAATGCAGCCATATAGTACCGACTGCCGACCAAAAATATAGTCATGTTTATGTCAAAATTCATGTAAGCCTCCTCTCCGAAGAAGAGAGAGTGAACATCCAGAACTTACGTCGTTTTTGCAGTATTAAACATGCATACTGGCCTAGGCATGGCTTCAGGAGGTATCGTGGCATATAGTGGCTAGCCGCTGCCCACCTAATATCGCGCCTAGGTGGAGGAATTCTGCCAAAAACATTTTTTTTCGAGTTCATTTAACATTTTAGGCCGCTGAGGAGTAATTTCTTGTTTGTATTTCCCAACTATGAACTTCGACGTAAACGAAATCTGATTGGGTGCAAAGGCGGCAAAGCTTCATTATTACTTTCACAATCCTAAAGGATAAAGCACATGCACGGTCGGAGCGGATTTGAGTGCTGCTATTATTAAAAATGCGTTAAAAGCTAAAGACTCACTTGCTATCATGTAACTGTTAATGCCTGCAAAATATACACTCTTTTCCTGCTGCTCATTGTAACATTTGCTTACGAACTGTTCTTTAACTGGCTTTTTTGGGAATTTCATACCACTGTGCCACATCAATCTACGAAAACAAGCTGAGATTGGAACACGTGATTTCGCCTGAAATTATGAGAAAATATTGAGATTAGAATACGTCATTTCTCTTGAAATCATGGGAAATAATTGATATTTGAACGCGCGATTCTCAAGCGCGCAATGACAAGAAACAAAGTTAAAAAAATAGGTTTTAAAAAGTTTTAAAAGTGTTTTAAAAAGCAAAAAAAGTTTTAAAAAGTTAGATTTTTAAGGAAGTTAGGGATTAGTGGTTTTAGTGGTTAGGGGTTGGGGTTAGGGTTAGTGTTAGGTGCCGCGAATTTATTATTATGATAAATTCAAAATTTGCCGCGAATTTATCATAATGATAAATTCGGACGTGTTTAAGAATTTATACTCATATAGTAAATTCAAAGGTGGAGCTGATGCTGATCCTGTCTCAGTTATATGTTATAGTTCAGCTGCAATTACCAGACGCAGAACGCATAATTTGGACAGGGCTGGAAAAAGTATCGGACCACGAGACCATTGATCCCAGAAACTTTTTTAATTTCTCAGAAAATATTTCTCCCAAGAAAGAAAAAATGTAATAATTTAGATAAAAGGAGAAAATCAGAGAAAAATTCACAGTATAACCTCATGATAGCAAATGCATTTTTATTAATATAACTGATCTGGGACATCTGATTTTAAAAAATTTTGTCCCTGATAGTGTCCCCTAGTACCGTTATAGTGCCCTAACTTTTTGGCATCTGTGTTTACCTTAGGATCAACCATTGATGCATGTTATCTACATTAGTTGCATGTTATATGTTAAGATTCTCAGTGATATTTTTTCCCTGTAAAATATAACATGACATCCAGTTTGACAACTTGTTAGTGTCACACATGCAGTGTCCAAGTGTCGATTTACTTGATTATTGACAGAACATTTTCGATGTCCCCCTGTGGTCCCAGAAAGTAAATAATTTTTTCCACACCTGCATTTGCATTGGCTTGTATTACTTACGACACCAAAGTTTTTGAAAAGAAACATTTCGAACTTTTAAAACTAGAAAAGCACAGTGTATAAACATGCAGTACTTACATTAATTTTCCTTTTCAACACTTCAGTTTTGTATCCGCCAAAATATAAATAGGGGATTCCATTAATAATTGTGGCACCTGGGTTGCCAACAGCATTAACATCAATACCATCAACAGTAAGCTGTGCTTTAACTTTATCTCGGTAAATAGTAACCTATGGAGACAAACATATAGAGGTAAGAAATTACACACGAGATATTCATAGAGTGGATGCTTGCGGGCATAAATATGTTTTTGGCCGACTCAGACTCGCTAAACAAAGCTTTATGGCTTTCATTGCATGTTTGGTGAAACTGCAGCTTCGCTTAGTAATATATACATATAATACATCTATACATATATATACATATATATATATATATATATATATATATATATATATATATATATATATACAAAAAAATACACAATTGGAAAAAGTTCACTAGTCAAGTCAGATATATGCGCGCGACATTTGCGAAAACTTTCAGTAAGCCTATGAACTTTAACGTTCTCTGATTATTTTTAAAAATGCTCGGCTTTTTAGAGCAGGAAAGCTGTTACTAAAATCCCCCTAAAAAATTCCTTGCGCAAAAAATATTATTCATCAGAAACAAAATTTAATCGCACAGAGTCAAAATATGGACTGTCTTACACAAGCTATCAAAGTTTCAAGAAATTTGGTGCACTTGTAGACCAACGCGCGATCTTCAAAACCTGGATTTCTCCCAGTTTGTTAGTTCAAACGAGATTTCTTCGCATGATCTCAAATTAATTTTATGCATGCTCGGACGTTTGCATAAATTACAGTACGAAATTCGCAAGCCAATTGCCAAAGGTCCTAGAGTTATTAACAACGCGTTTATTTACAAAATTATTGACATCATGCAGTATTTATTTACAAATAAAATCAATCTTCAACGTGCATGCCCTCCTATGTTGAAGATTGATTTTGTTTGTAAATAAAAACTGCATGTAAATAATTTTGTGAAAGGACCTTTCGGAATTGGCTTGCAAATTTCGTGCTGTAATTTATACAAACACCCGAGCATGCATAAAATTAATTTGAAATCATGCAAAGAAATCGGGTTTGAACTAACAAAATGGCAGAAAATCCAGGTTTTGAAGATCTCGCGTTGGCCTACGCGTGCACCAAATTTCTTGAAACTTTGATCGCTTGTCCATATTTTGACTCTGTGTGATTAAATTTTGTTTCCGATGGCGATGAAAAATTTTTTTGCGCAAGGCCTTTTTGGGGAGTTTTTCGTAACAGCTTTAATTCCTGCTCTAAAAACGCTAGCATTTTAAATAATTTTAGTGCTAGATGTACCAGAGAACGTTAAAGGACATCTGACTTTAGTGAACTTTTTCCAACTGTGTACTTTTTTCTGATACACCCTGTATAATAATACCTTTTTCCATGTTCCATCGTTTACGACATTATCTGTTGAAAGGAAGATATCTTCCGAACCAGTGTTAAATCCAAAAGTAACTTTTCCATCTTGTAAATAACAAGATATGAAATCTATCTGTGCATTGTTCGCAGAATAGAACAAAATACCATTGCTCGCAAAAGTTCTGAATTCAAATGAAAGGCCACCACTAAAAACAGCAAAAAACAGTTAGGTTGTTCGTGTAAACTTTCCTGCAGATTTTAAGACCTACAGTACGAATCCTTATGTCTAGCCTATTGACAACAACAGTAGCTACAATGCTGGCAAAAATTATTGTGGACAGCGCGCGCAGAAATAGAAATACCATCCTTGGCCAAAATATACGCGCAAAACAGGAATGATTAACTTCCCACCTCCACCCGGTTCCGTAACGTAAAAACATTTTTCCTCATATCACCAATTTTCCCCATTTATTCAAAATATTTTTTTAAATTCCAAAAATTTTCAAAAATTTTTGGAAATTAACCTCATTCTTTTCCAAATTCACACTTATTTTTGCAAATTAGCTTTCTCTGGGCCTATAAATTACCTGAATCTCATGATTTTGCTAGAAAAAGCATCACTGGAAATGTGATTTATCACGTATAGTATTTTACAACTAAAAGGGCACTTCTGCCCCCCCCCCCC